CACGAAAGTGATCGAATATGCAATCGAAAATTTGAGCACTAAATAAAATACCATAATGGGTTTACATTCAACGAAAGGCATCAAAAAACATACCGAAAAGGAGCCTCCTTCCTAGTAGTTGGCGGAGGAATTCTCTGAACAATGGCATCTAGCACTGACTCAACATTCAGCCCTGTCTTTGCCGAGATCTTTAGCGATTCATGAGGTTCAAATTCAAAAAGATTTTTGAGCTGGGTCTCCACCTAAACATTTTGTAATTTGGTATGGACAGTAGTGGAAAAGCGAAGATGCGGATACCAGCTTACCTTTGCGATATTAGCACCACTGAGATCTATTTTATTGATAACCGGTATCATATGTATGTTTCTTTCAAAAGCGAGCCAAAAGTTGGCAATCGTCTAAAAAGGAAAAGCGTCTACGACAAAAAATTTTAAAAATGTGAGTGGTAAAGAATAAATAGTATCAAAAAATAACAACATCAAATAGTAACAAAAGGATTTGAAATCTAACAGACTAATGAGATTATCACCTGCGCTTGGACTCCTTGATTGGCAGCAACTACCAATAAAATACCATCACAAACAGCTAATGATCGAGAAACTTCGGCAGAAAAGTCGACATGACCAGGAGTATCAATGAGATTTAATAAATAATCCTGAGGCAATGCATTAACGGACACCAACGCAGATAAGGCGCGTAAAAATGCATTTTATGCATACCTTATAGGGTAAGGCAGCAGTCTGAGCTTTCACAGTGATTCCTCGTTCTCTCTCAACGGGTAAACGATCAAGCATTTGCTCATTTCGTTCTCCTGGCTTCACTACTCCGGTCAACTCTAACAAACGATCAGCTAACGTGCTTTTCCCGTGATCCACATGAGCGACGATGCTGCAAAACATATATTGAGAGATTAGCAATTAGCAATCTCGACGATGGCTAATTACCTGAAATTCCGGATCTTCTCGGGTGAATATTTTGTCAGATTAATGAGTTTAGCAGGATCATCAGGACCGGAGGAGAATAACCGCGCGGACTGACAAACCCAATTCAACTTTATTCGTGGAGGAATCAGCTTCATAATCGCATTCTGAATATGTTGTGGAATGACGTGATAAAAGAATATGTTTTACGTAAAACTGAGGAAGTCACATCAAGAGGAAAACCAATAGGGATCTCAAATGGAACAACAGCATCTCTGAGATGACCTCTGAGATGAATGAAATTGTATTGAATATTCGTTATGATGATATGAATTGCTTGGATCCTAACTGCAAGCAGTGAACCCAATGCTAAAAAAGCAGCCCAGGATTGGTCCGAAACATCCAGTTCTAATTCTCGCCAAGATCGAGTCCTAGCAAGCGATCAGCAGCGTCTTGAACCACAGAGGGTACGGTCTAAGCAAGAGATTAAGTTGGCTATTTAAGTCAAGAATCGAAGCTGCCGCTCAGGCCATGGCCTATCAAGACCTTCTAGCCAGTTTTTCGCACAAGAAACCCGTCGAAATTTGACTTAACACTGTCTTCAAAATACACGAATGTTTGCAGAGAGGTGTAGATGTCTCTAAACTTTGAAGGGCTACGATTTGACTACACAGAAGCTTTCAAACAATTTTCCACTCAACCATGGCTTTATGAGACATAAAAATTATGAAGAGCAGGAAGTTCAGAGAAGCGGCCGCAGGAAAGGATCTTGAAGAGGACCGCTATTGTCCATGGAAGTCAAAATGAAGACGTCTTCTAGGCAAATGAGACCCAAAGCGAAAGTCACTTTAGAGTCAAGCCATGGATAACAAAACCATTACAAAAACCGAGTTTGTAAGAAAGTGAGCTATGGAGATAGACAGGAACATAAAACCACCGCATTCTGGGCAAGTTTTTGGACATATTC